GTGAGCAGAGAGGAGTGTGAGCAGACTGTGAGCAGAGTGTGAGCAGAGAGGACTCTGTGAGACACGCTGTTGGTTTCTACACCTCAGAAACAAGGGCTCGTGAACTTGGCTACATTTGGTTACGTTTGTGCCTGTGCAAAGGAAGGTGCTTCTCTGCAGCCTGACTGGAGCCGGACAAGGGGCAGCACATCACACAGTTTCCACAGTGAAGGCTGGCCTCCGCCCGGAAGGAAGAACTCAGCCCGGAAGGAAGAACTCAGCACAGAATGAAGGCTTCGAGTAGGCTAGCCTTAGCCCGGAAGGAAGGCTTCAGCCCAGTGAATGCAGCATTCCCTGCACTCAAGCGAGGCTCCCAAAGTGTTTCCTTTTGATTTCCCTTCATCTCTCACAAAACAGTGTGAACTGAGGTACACAAGTGTGTCCTTGCATGAGGCCCACACCGGGTGCTTTATGAGGTCGGTAGCATTAAGTGCCTCTCGGGGACCTTGGATGTCAAGCGTGTGCAGCGCAGAATCCCCCAGCTGGGGCAGTCCTGACTCTCTGAGCCTCGTTTCTACCATGTGCAAAATGAGGAAGCGCTGCCGTGTGACATCCAGACGCCCTGTCACGGTGAGCCACCTTGAAGGCAGCCCTGGGCGTGTCTATGCCGGCACTTCTGGTCACGTTTACTGAGAAAGGAAGACCAGCCCTGCCCGAGCCTCACACCCAGAGCTGCTTCCTCCATGCCCCCTGGTGAGGGGCCCCTCCTGCGACCCCACCGAGGCCGCCTGCACCTCCAGACCAGGAGCAGAGCAAAGCTCCCTACTGTAAGTTCTTCATTGGGTGATTTCTCACTGAGCAAGCAGGATGATGGAGACTCAGAGATGGGGTGACGCAGGGGCCTCGGCAGGGGCCAGGGGCCAGGGCCACATGGGGTGACAGGGTGGTGAGGTGCCCATGGTGGCAGGATCAGAACTCTGGAAAAGCAGCTTCTGGCCAAGGGCCTGGCCTCCAGCTTCTCACCTCCAGGGCAGAGGGCAGTGCCCTCCTGACTGCTCAGTCCCTTAGGAAGGGGTGCACATACTTGAAAAGAGACAAGAAGAGTGTGCAAACCCAGAGCGAAGGCCAGTTTAATTAAGGACGTTCGTTAGGGTCTCGCTGCAGTGAGGGACATTTATGTGAGCACACTTGGTTCCCTTGAATCACTAACTCCCTGAGCTCCGGAAGCTGGCACTGTAAAGAAGAACTCGGGCTAAGCTCCTCCCAGGAAGGCAGCGGCCCACCTTCGGCTCTGCTGCAGCCATCAGCTTGGCTGACCAGCTGCCGTACTCTCCCTGCCTGAGGGATCATGTCTGCACCAAATGAACCCTCTCCCTTAGGTCAAAGTGATGAAAAGAAGAGGTTGCGGCTGGGTGCACCAGGCATGGGCAAGAGCACCGTGCAGCACTGGGGGCACCAGGAAGACGTCCCCACGCTGAAGACGTGCAAGAAAATGGCATGTGGGCACCTGAAGGGGGTTCAGAAAACGTTCCCAAACTGCTCCATGCTCCAGTCCTCTCCTGGGTCCAGCCCGGGTCTTCTCCCTCCGTGGTTGACTCTTTTTTTATTTGTTTGTGTTTTCTTTTTGATTTTTTTTTTCTGAGACAGGGTTTCTCTGTGTAGCCCTGGCTGTTCTGGACTCACTCTGTAGACC